CGCCGTGGGCGATGGTCGCGTATTCGTCGACGCCTTTGCGCCGCAGGAACCGGGCCACGTCGCCACTGACGCGTCGCACGGCGGCCGTGTCGAAATCCGCCGGCTTGCCCAAGCCGGCCACCCACCACACGCTTGGCGGAAAACCACGGCCCAGCGTGTGGCTCAGCGTCAGTTCGCCCAGCACTTCCCCTTGATCTCGCCGTCGGCGATCAGTTGCGAAATCGCCCGTCCAGCGCACGGTCGACGGCCCCGGTTCCGCCTCCCGGCTCCGTCACGCCCTGGAACATATTAACCACCAGCGCCGGAAGTGGCGAACTCGGTAGCGTCTCGGCTGTGTGGACCTTGATCGTAGCTGCCATGCTGCTTCTCCTGAAACCGATTGTTCACCCGTCGTTGGCCAGATTATGCCAACGTGTTGTTACGGCACAACCGGCTGCAGCCAGTCCGTTGCAGGGTTTCTCGCAACACCGACTCCGTGTCCTCCGGACCACAGACCAGAAGGTGCGGCACCGGCACGGGTTGGTCGGCCACGCCATGCGAGAGTACACGTCCCAGGTGGCATCGCTTGCGAGGCATCTCCCGTCCTGCGGCACGTCCGCAAGCCGTTGCGCACCAGTTCCGCCGGCGCCGTGAAACGCACAATCAACGGCTTACGCCAAACGCCCTCGGCTGATCGTATAGCGGTCGCCGCACGTTCTCGTTGAGATTGGTGGCGTCGAATACCACCGAATAGCCATCCCGCAGGTAGCCGCGGGTCAAACGTGCATCGCGGACACTCGCCGGTGTTCTCGCCCGGCTGTAACAGGGAGCATCGACCAACAGTTTGCGCGTGCGGTCGCTGCTCAACCACACGAACGGGGCCAGCGGGCCAACTCCCTGGGCGAAATGGACTTTCCGGGTACGGGCAACCCGCAGAGTAGTACGAGGTTCGGCGAGGCTCCCGCCGTGGCCGGCAATTCCTCAGCGTACGCCGATCTCAGAAGTTGCAAATCGGCCGGGCGCAGCCCCCCTGCCGTCCAGGACTTGCGCTGCGACCGAGACGTTGATCGGACACCCAGCGCTCTCCTTTGCGCCCGATTGCAGGAACGGTTTGACGCTACACTAATAACGCCGCGAGGGCATATTGGACCACCACCAGCACGATCATCACCACCAACGGGCTGAGTCGATCATCCCGGTCTGCGGCAGAGCACCCGCCTGATTGGCCCGAGCACCGGTTCCGTCAATGCAAACACGACCTCGTACAGGCGGGCAAGCACGTCCGGCGTCCCGTTTCCTCGCGTCGACATGTACTGCACCACGAAGCCCAGGATGATGCGGGCCAGCAGCAGCAGGTAGCACAGCGTGATGAATAGTGTAATGAGCTGGAGCATGGGCAATTTCCAAGTAACCGGGGGAGTCTAGTTCTGGCCCAGCCGCACTGATTTCAGGTATGCGGTCGTTCACGGCGTCGACCAATGCCGCCGGGACACCGGCGCGTTCCAGGGCTGCAGTTCCTCCGCCGTGGTGCCGCCCGGCGACGTGACCATGTCCTTCAACTCGCCGGGGTGCCGACCGGTTTCGGACACCAACTGGACGCTTCCCTTGACCGTTTGCAGCGCCATCCTCCGCGACACGTCGCGCGGCAATCCCACGTACACGCCGGCATCGATAAGAGCCTCGAGGATCAGGAACACGTAAGCTGGCCCGCTGGCGCTGAGCGCCGTGGCCATGTCCAAATATTTCTCGTCGTCGACGTAAATGGCGTCGCCAATGGTCGACAGCATGGCGCCGGTTGCTTCGCGGTGCGCTTCGCTCACGGAAGGAGCGCAGGTCCACATCGTCATGCCCTCGCCGATCTGCGCGGGCGTGTTCGGCATCACGCGAATGATCCCGTCGTGCTTCATCCCGTTTGCCAGCGAGCTCATCGTGGCCCCGGCCACAATGGACATGAGCGATTTCCCATCACCGAACGAGCCTCCGATATCCGCGTACACTTTCGGGAGGTCCTGCGGCTTCACCGCCAGCGCGATCAGTTCGGATACTTCGAGCACGGCACTGTTTACGTCGGAAACCGCGACCCCGTATCTTTCGGCCAGGTAGTCCCGCCGCGACGTACCGGCTCTCCGACACATCACGTCGCCGGCATTCGCGACGCCCGCATCGAGCATCCCGCCATGGATGGCCTCCGCCATCGTTCCGCCGCCGATGAAACCAATGTTCATCGCTCTAGTCCTCGCCCCAGGAATCGGTGAGACCGTCGCCTCTCGCGAAGGGCACACCGCCATACGGATCGATTTCCACCATCGAAGTGTGGTCCGCCAGGTTCGTGCCGCTATGTCGAATGCCGTGCCGTGGTCCACCGACGTGCGGGATGAAGGGCAGCCCAAAGGGTGGCGGTAATGCTCTCCTCGAAGCCGTACACCTTGACCGGGATGTGCCCCTGGTCGTGGTACATGCACAGGGTCACGTCGTATCGGTCCTGGATCGCTGTGTGGAGATGATGTCCGCCTGGGCACGGCCACAATGGCTTTGATCCCCTCACTCTGTGCCTGCTGCACCCGCCGGGGCGATCTCTTCCGCCTCCTCGCTTCCAAACAATCCGCCGTCGCTGCCGTGCGGGTTCAACGCCGCCACGCCGATCCTCGGCTCCGCAAATCCCCACTTCCTGAAGTTGTCTCGTCCGTCAGCCTGAGGTAGTCGAGGATCACGGTCTTTCTTCACGTAATCGCAGGCCAAGCGCAGCGACCGGTGCGTGGTCAGATGCACCACACGCAGGTTCTTGGCCATGAGCATCGTCGCGACCGTTTTCGCGCCCGACAACTCTTGCAGGAAATACTCATGTGTCCGATGGCCTCGTAGCCCGCCAGCGCGGCAGCCTCCTTGTTCAATGGAGCCGTCGCCAGGCCGTCGACCACACACGGCCATCGCCAGTTGGCCCGCTTTGCTGACCCACTCCATGGCCGCTTTGCCGCACGGCACACTCAACTGACCAACGGTGATGTCTTCGGGATTTCAGGTTCCCGAAGTGTCCACCACGTCCACGACCGAGGGATCCTGTCCGGCCCAGTAGGATCGTCCGTGCCGTTGATGCCAAGGCCAAGGCCGGTGAGGCGTGCGCTTCTTCCATCGCATGACGTTGCCCACCACCACCGGGGCGGCACGCGGCATACACGCGCGGATCGGCCAGCGCCTTGACGACCACCTCCGGGCCAATCCCGCAGGGGTCGCCCATGGTGATGGCTATGGCCGGTCGCTGAACGCCGGTATCGGTTGCAGATGCCATCTCACGCCTCGTGCGCTAGCGCGCAATTTGATCCGCCAATTGGCGGCTGATATAGCACGCAGTCGATTGGCATCACGCGGCTCCCGTAGCTGCCTGCGGTTGTCCGGATTGGCACATCGGTTTAGACTCGGCATAATACATCCCAGCCAACGCCTGTCCAGCGAGAATAGCGCATGATACCGCAGAAAAAATATGAACAGGACCGTGCCAAGCTCATCGAGGCGCGTGTGCTGTACCTAAGCGAACTTTCGTGGACGACCCTAATTTTGATATGGCAAAATGGCCAAGCTCCTCTATTGCAGATTGCGATTCATACATCCATACGGCGAGCCCATAACGGGGACTACGTACGTGCATTTCCCTCACGGTCCGTACCCGGCAAAATGTGGTATCAAGTCCGCGACCGAGATGGAGGGAAACGGCGACGCCGATGGTATTGTACGAGTTGTCGAACGGCGGGTACCACCGCTATCGAATGTTGCCGCCTTCGTTCAGCCAATTTGGAACGTTTGGGACCGTCTGACTTGGTGACCTCGAGGCGCAGGTATCACGCTTCGCCGGTTTTAATGCTGCTGGGATCGAGCAGTACTCGCATCAAGAAATCGCGTGGCTGTCTACCGAAGATGGCCAGCCAATGGCCTACGAACTCGCCTGGCGTCATATCTGCCGCAATGTCGCCGCGAGACATTCAGGAAGCCAGGGTCATCAAGTGATCGGGCTGATGCTCAGCAGGTAACCTCTTGGTCGTCTTCAATGATCTCGTAGCGGATTCGCAACTCTGCCGACCGGGTCGCGAGCAGATCGTGGAAAATCGATCGCTCTCAGGTGTGTCCGACCATTCCGCGATTCTGCGGGGAGCCCATGGCGATTGGGCGAGAAATCCCTTGATGTAGTCCAAGGTTGATGGGTCGGCACATTGGATTGATCGCATCCCTCCCGTATCCATAATCGCCAGTTCGCTGTACAAACAGGTCAGATGCATAACCGTGTATCGTCTACGTCGGTCTGGCGGGAGACACGTTCTATCTCCACGTATCGCGATAAAAAATAGTCCATTATTACAAATACCGAGGGCGTGATACCTTTCCGCCTCGGTAGTGTGTTTATTCGCACTTGTTCCAGCCGCACGAATAGCAGGTCAGACAGCCCCTCTGGCTGACCACGCCTCCGTTGCATTCGGGGCACCTTTGGGAGAAGCCGGTCGGGTACGTGGGCGCCGACCCATAAACCGTTCGTTCCGTTCTCCGTGGGTCCGCCGGCCAGGCTCAGTTGCACGCTCGTCGGCGCGCTGTCCAGGCATCGCCGCCTGTTGGTTATGTTGTCCAGCACCAAGCGCAACCGCGTCCGGGCCGACCCGACAGACACGCCGTCGTCCCAGGCGGGGCAGCAGGTTATCCCACGCAACTGCCGGGTCACTTCGCTGGGTTCGATGCCAGCGCGCAACGCCAGCGAAATCAGGCGAGATACCGCCTCCAGCAACGCCGCGTCGCATCCGCCGGCCTTGCCCATGGCCCCGAACACCTCGAAGGGCATTCCGTCGGCGTCCATGTTCACGGTGACGTACATGTTGCCGTGTCCCGTCCGCACCCGTTCGTGTGATGCCGTGGATCTGCCGCGGCCGGCGCCGGGGCACCCGTTGGCCGGGCCCGATGATCTTCACACCGCGTCCGGGTCGTCGGTGATCCACCGGGATGTCGTCCTCAGATTGCTGCGCGGCGTTGCCGGTGCTCAACACCTGCTCCGCCTTGCTGCCGTCGCGGTACACCGTGATTCCCTTGCACCCCAGGGTATAGGCGGAACGGTAGGCTTCCGCCACGTCTTCCACCGCCGCGTCGTGAGGGAAGTTGATCGTCTTGGATACCGCGTTGTCCGTGTATTCCTGGAAGGACGCTTGCATCCGCACGTGCCACCGGGGGTCGATGTCGTGGGATACCCGGAACACGTTCTTGACCCAGTCGGGCACGTCCAAATCGTCCAGAGATCCGACGCTGGCCAGCTGTTCCATCAGTTCCGGCGAGTAGAACCCTTCGTGGCGTGCCACGGCTTCCAGGTAGGCGTTGCCCTCTACCAGTCGCGTGTTGTCCATCACGTTGCGGACGAAGGACAAGGCAAACAATGGCTCGATCCCGCTGGAAGCCCCGGCGATGATGCTGATCGTTCCGGTGGGCGCGATCGTCACCGGAGCCGAGTTACGCATCGGCGGTCGAAGTCGGTCCTCGTTGTAGGCGCTGTTTTCCCACTCAGGGAACGGGCCCCGGGACTCGGCCCAGTTCGCACGATGCCCGGTAGGTCTCGTCCTGGATGAATTTCATGACGTCACGGCGCCAATTCCCAGGGCTTCCACGCTGTCGTAGCGCACGCCCATTTGGATCAGCAGGTCCGACCATCCCATGACGCCCAACCCGATGCGCCTGGTCCGCCGGCTCATGTCGGCTATCTCCTGGATGGGATAGTCGTTCATGTCGATCACGCAGTCCAGCATGTGCACCGCGGTCGTGATGACTTCACTCATCCGTTCCCAGTCAACCAGCACGTCATCGTCCGTGTAACGCACCATCCTTGCCAGGTTCAGCGAACCCAGGTTGCAGGATTCGTATGGCAGCAGCGGCTGCTCGCCGCACGGATTGGTCGATCTCGATGTCTCCCAGCTGCGGGTTCGGTTGTCGCGATGATGCGGTCCAGGAACACGATACCCGGGTCGCCGGTGCGCCAGGCCAGCTCCGTCATTGTCGGAACACTTCGCCGGCGTTGAGAGACTCCCGACCACGTCCCCGGTGCGCGGGTTGACGAGATCATAGTCCTCGCCGTTTTCCGCCTTCACCATGAAATCTTCCGTAACCGCAACGGAGATATTGAAGTTGCTGAGACGCGTTCCGTCCTCTTTGGACCTGATGAACGACAACACGTCCGGGTGCGTAACATGCAGGATGCCCATGTTCGCGCCCCGGCGGGTGCCGCCCTGTTTGACCACGTCGGTGGCGGCATCGAAGGCGTTGATGAAGCTCACCGGGCCCGACGCCACGCCTCCGGTCGACCCCACGACGTCCCCCTCCGGGCGCAGTCGCGAAAAGGCAAAGCCCGTGCCGCCGCCGCTCTTGTGGATCAGCGCCGTCTCCTTCACCTTGGTGAAGATGGAATCCAGCGAATCCTCGACCGGAAGCACAAAGCACGCGGACAGCTGTTGCAGTTCGCGCCCGGCATTCATCAACGTCGGCGAGTTCGGGAGGAACTCAAGGCGCCGCATCACCCGGTAAAACCGTTCCGCTACGGCGGCCCGTTCTTCTTCCGTAGCCCCATATTCCAACTCGGACTGGGACAGATTTTCCGCCACCCGTCGGAACATTCCCTCCGGGTCTTCAAGTATGTTCCCTTCCCGGTCCTTGGACAGGTAACGGCGTTGCAACACGACCCTTGCGTTATCGGTCAGCGTGCCATTTCGATCGTTGTATTCGCCGGCTATCCCGGCGGCGACCATTGCGTCGCGTATGCTCCGCCTCACCGGATCGGCCGAACCAGCCCTTCCCGCCGCATCAATTCCCGTAGCCGTTGCCACAGCAAGTACCTCCCTCAAACTCAACTATATTGAACAAATTTATGATTGGCAGACAAAGCACAACGATACTCATGAGGTTCCCCTGCACCGCTGTAGTCTAAACCATCAACCCTCTCCCGCGCCGGGTTTATCGGCCTGACGTGGCGGAACGCTGGCGCGCCGGCGTCCCGCCACAGTTATCAGACTACTCCGACCTCTTTTCGCCCGCTCGCCCCTTTCAGTCGTGCGGACAGGTCCAGGTCAAACCGCAACCCCTTGTAGAAGTACAGCACCGGTGTCTCGCGTTGCGGCCGCAGGTCCAATCCAACCAACGCAGCCGTGGCGTCCTGCACGCGATGCCAAACTCCTTCCTCGCCCGGGGTTCCCCTGGTGACCAGGCGTACCACCCCGGCCGTCATGCTGATTCCCAACCGGGTCAGCGTATCCGCCACCAGGTCTGCGAAATCTCGCAATGCTCCGTAAGCGTACTGGTGACCCGCGGTCAGTCGCAATGCCAGTCCCGTGGGTGTGTTCCGACAATTGGTCACCGGAAAGGCGGTTCGCAACTGCTGGGTAATCGCGGTCTCGGACCCCTCCGGGCACGGACCGCAGTTGATCTCAACGTTGTAATGCACCGAATGTTGCATTTCTTCAGGCTCCCGAGCTTTAGGCTCATTCTGGAGTTGATTGGTCGACACCCGGCGGGGCGGAGCCAAGTCCGCCGCCGCCGGTTGTCTCGGACGGTTTACGCGTTCACGCAATGAGGTCGTCATCCTCCCGTTGCGCCGGCAAAGCCGCCCAGCAACTCACCAGGCAGGCCCGGGCCTCTCGGTCCAGGTCATCCTGAAGTTCGGCAAAGGGGTTCGGAATCCACGAATCGCCATTGTCCACGCCGCTGGTCTCCCAGTCCGACGGGACCCACATCTGCCGCAGCATCCCCTCCATGTCGTGGACCCGGTTGTTGTGGGTCAACAGCCTTGTGAAGGCGGAGAATTGAACGGTGCTGCTCATGATGGTGTTGAACACCTCCCTAGGGGTTGTGGATGGCGAGCGGGTGGCAATGTTGCCAATTTGGTTTTGACCTGGACGCCCGACAATGGTGGCGATGCCGGTGCGCCCTTGAGTCCTCAGGTAGATGGGTCTTAAAACGATGCCTCGGATCACGTCCCGGCCCACCAAAGAGCCGGACGTGGTTCGGCCTATTTACCTCCGCGGCCGGTGGCGCGGCGGGCCCGAGGCTTACGGGGTGTGACCGCCGCCAAACTCAGCAGCGGTTCCGGTTGTCCCTGTCGCAGCGAACGGGCTTGTTCTTCGAAGTCGTCCGCCCCCTGGAAGTCGTAGTACACCGACGCGTATCGCATGTATGCGACTTCATCCAACGCGCGCAACCGCTCCAGCACCATCAGTCCCAAGTCTCGGGACTTGACGACGCCGCTGCCCAACCGTTGGAGCTCTGATTCAATGTCGTCAGCCAAACGGTCGATGTCCCGGCGGGGGATCGGCCTTCGCGTGCAGGCCATGTCGATCCCGGAGACCAACTTGGTGCGGCTGAATTCCTGGCGCTTGCCGTCGCGCTTTTCCACTTGCAGCGCCGGCAGCCGGACCTGTTCGTGCGTGGTGAACCGACGGCCGCAGGACAGGCATTCCCGCCGCCTCCGAATGCCGTTGTCGGCATCCCTCGAGTCGGTTACTTTGCTTTGTACAGTCTCGCAATATGGGCATTTCATCGGTTGGGTTACCTTTTGGTCGTTTTTTCAGACAGTTTTTGAAAACGGTATATATTGTGTTTTGGAACCCGATAACCACAACTTGTGGTAGTCAGGATTATAACCGAGCGCGATTCCAGTGCGCACAGTGAATGCTGTCAGATTTTCCCTGCGATTTCGCGGATTTTTCGACCCGCCAAGCGTGGAGGCACAAAAATAAGCCCCCTCTCCGTTTTGGAGAGGGGGCCGTTGGCGTCGAAGGGTGACCGGTCTACCGGTAAAATCCCCGGCGATTCTGACGGTTCTGCAGGAACGTCGGCAGTTCGTAGTCCCTTCTTTCCGGGACGTCCATATCTGCCAGGAGCTTGGCGATGTCATCTTCCGGGGTCTCCGTCACCACCGGGAAGTCAGCCGCCACCATTGTCATCTTTACCTCGTCGTCCAGCCGGGCATCCCGGTTGGTTCCGAAGATGATGTTGGCGTTGGGTCGTGCTCAGATCCTCGACACCGACCGCCGCCTGCTTCCTGAACTTCCTGCACAGACAGTTGTTGCCGCCGTCAGCACAAGAATGAGGATCCGTCGCGACCCTTCCAGTGAGATGTCCAGCAACGGACTGGAGGTGCACTGCCGGGCTGCTTCCCGGGCCCTTCCTTCACCGCGTCCACGGCCAATGGACAGCCAGGCCTGGCCCGCGCCGGTGAGGATCGTCTTCACGTCGGCGAAGTCCACGTTGATCTCGCCGGGCACGGTGACCACTTCGGCGATCGCGCTGATCCCCTGGTGCAACACACGAGTCGCCAGCTTGAGCGCGTCTTCCCACGAGTAAGAATCGGCCTGTTCCTTCATTCAGGGCCAGCAGTCGATCGTTGGGATACGATCATGGTATCGACTGTCCCGCAGTCGTTCCAAGACCGTCCTCCGGCGTTTTCCTCCTCAATCTGGGCTTCAAAACCGAACGTGCCGGCTTACTACCGCGATGGTCAGAGCGCCCGATTCCTTGGCTATCTGCGCGACCACCGGAGCGGCGCCGGTCCCGGTACCACCGCCCATGCCGACTGCCACGAACACCCATGTCCTCTCCGTTCATCACCGCCTGTTCGATTTCCGCACGCGACTCTTCCGCCGCCTGGCGTCCCAGTTTCGGGTTGGGCGCCGGCGCCCCACCGCGCGTCACGTTTCGACCAGCGGATACGGTAGTGCACATCGTCACCGGGCTAGGTGCTGCTGTCGCGTCCGTGTTCACGCGTAATATTCGTACCACCGCGCTTTGCTTTAGACATGCGGCTCACCGCGTTGGAGAACCGCCGCCGCCCACGAGCCAAGCACTTTATCATCGGAACGTCCGAACTCGGGCTATCAGCCATCGGTGTCAATCAAAGCGTTCGGTGTTCCAGGATGCGCGGAGTTTATCGGAAATAATCATCGTCCTTTCTGTCCCCTCCTGTTCGTTTCTGACTGCTGCGTTGGCGCTTTGTCGCATCGTTTGGCACCAAACTATTCCGAATTCCGCCCGCCATGCGGCGCGCGTTCGGTTATATGTGATCTACTCTCTTCTTCCAAGCTTCTGGCGAAGCGCTGCTTGTCCGCGAACCGGAGAACGAAATAACTTGCCTCAGACACGCCTGCGAACGGTCCTTCGCTCGGAAAAGTCGCGCCGCCGCGTCACCACTTTCCGTCTCCACGTAACCTTTTCCTCGAATTATTTTCTCGATTTTCGTCCTCTCCATCGCTCAATATTAAGAATCGTCGTGCCGCGCTGTCGTCGATGCTGATGTCGTTGACGGCCCATTGCAGGGCGCCCAGCACGGCGGAGAATTCCGGCTGCCGCAGCGATTCGGGCACATCCCGCATATCCACAAGCGTATTGCTGCGACACGCGCTCCTCGGTCCTCAAACCACGGGAGGCCATTTTCGGCGAGCCCAGGCATGCGAGACACGCCACCCTGAGCACGATACCTCCCGGAGGAACCGAACCCATCTCGGCCTTGTAGAGCTCCTCGCTCAGGAGCTTGAGCATTGCAACGAGCGCAGATATAAGCGCTCGCACAACCGCGCGCGCAACACCATCCGCTTCGGTTGTACCTGGGTCGCCAGGATCACACCTCTTCGGTGGGCGAAATCGCGTCGGGCAGCACGTGACCGACCTGGATCTTCAGGTCCTTTTCGGCCATCTGGTACTGGTATGCGCATCGCCCACCGCAGTGCCCTGGTGAGCTGATTGCGCCCACCGCACCCACCGAGGAATATACCGGCGTTCCTTCGCGATACAACGGCCGTCTTGATTGTCCCGGCTCCGATGTCGACCACCACGTACTGCCCATCTCGCGCTCGTCAGCGGTGAGCACTTGATTTCCTTCGGCCGCGACGCCAGCGGTTTAGGTCTGCACATTGCCTCGACCGTTGGCCTTGCACGCTTGCAGCGCTCCGCGCGGCTGTTCCCCAGCGGTCCACCGCCATCCTCGCGCACGATATGAGCCGTGTCCAACTACGGCCAAACTCGTTGGTGTCGAGGTCGCGGTCGGGTTCGCGCACTCCGCCCATCCCTCGAGCCGGTAGCTCGCATCGGGATCACGTGCACGTCTGGCCCGCTCCGGCTGTCCAACTGCTGCTGCAGTTCCCGGACGTGTCGCTCATCAGCGAAGCGAGCCGCTGCTCGGTGATCGTAACTCCACTTCTTCACCACGTCCAGCACAGCTTCTCCGTCGAGTTGGTGCTGACCAGGTGATCTCCGTTCACCACCACGTAATAGCGGTCCACCGGATTACGACCCACGTAACGCAGACACTCTGCCATGCTCTCCTGCAGCTGTTCTTGACCTCGCCAAAGTCGTCGATTACCCCGCTGGATGCCGTTGGACGGAGCCACCCCCGTGCCCAGCGCTTCCAATTCCCCTTCTGGACCCAGCCGCGCAACGATCGAACAATTTTGCTGTTCCTATGTCAACTGCGGCGTACATCGATTCTTGT